ATATATATATATACTTTTCATTAACGAACTGAGCCCTCTGGCTGCTGGCGTTTGTATACATCTGCATATAATACATTAAAATTTCTGTTCCTCTTCCATGCGCCGATAGCTTAGGGGTAAGACCTCTGACTGATGTCAAATCGGTCGGGTTTCAATCCCGTCTTGATGTTTAGCACACTGATTAGCTGTGATACAGCGAAACACGCTTGTATGTGGACAACTGTCTATATATATATATATAACTCTCGCATCAGTCTGGTATGATGAAGCACACAATTTAGATGAAAGGCAGGAAAAATATTTTTATGACTGAATAATGATTATATATATATATATATATATATATATTTTCTTTCCCCTTCTAGCCATTTCTTTTTCAATAATCTACCACCATTGATAGTTTGAAATATGATGTGAATTTTACATTTAAAGTTCTCGGGTGAAAATGAGCATTCACTTATGGTATCTTAATTGTATGAAATATTTTGGTCGGTTTAGAGAAAATAAACACTGAGAGCTTTTTGTGAATCAGTTTTAACATTTAATATTTAAAATTTTATATTGTGACAATAGATTCACTTGGATTGTAACAACCGATTACCACCTATATATATATATATATATATATATATATATATATATATATATATATATATATATATACCGGATATAACAGCAAACTTGTTCAAATCGTGTAACAGAATAATTGTCCATCCCAAAAAATAATAATTGAGTTTCTTCGTTTCAGAATTTCAGACGAGACGTTTAGCCATCTTGGCACAATATGTTGTAATAATCCATGAAAAAGAAACATTTGAATTATTCAGCTAGAAAGAGAACAGGTTGTGTCAGGCCCACTGTCTTCTCAACTGAGCAATGGTGAGAGGAAAAATCATTCAGGCTTTCAGTAATGGTATCAATATTTAAACTCTGGCTTCCAGCTTCAAATCCATTCAAGAACCATCAAGAGAAAGTTGAAAAAGTTTAAAAAAGAGAGAACAATAGAAAGGAAAACTGGATCAGGAGGTCACAACAGGAAGAGGGATCATCATTTCAACATAGAACTAAAGAGATCAATTAGAAAAGATCCAACTCAATCCATAAGACGTTTGGCACGTGAGAGAGGAGTTGCAGCTATGGCAGTCCAAAGTGCAGTGAAAAAAGACTTGAAAAGGAAATCGTACTTGAAACCCGTGAGGCACCAAATTACCCCAGGACATCTTGAACAAGTCGGAAAACGATCCTGAAATAATAATATATATATATATATATATATATATATATATATATATATATATATATATATATATATATATCAGCTTTCCCTGACGATCCGCTTAGGTGAAACTTGGGTAGGTTTGTCTGGCTCACTAGGTTTATCTAAGTCTGCTCTACGGTTGTATTGAACTCTTTTTTAGTTAGTTGTTTTACTCGTGTCAGGGTTTTTTTTTGGGCTTTGAACCTGTATCTGTGCGATTTTTTCGACAGACTTTCATGTTCCTGGCTCTTTCTTTTTTAAAACCTTTTTTTTTCCTTCGTGATTGATTTGATTATCGGCAAAACCAAAAATTCGAAGGTTTTTCGAAACAGGTATAGTTACCTATATATATATATATATATATATATATATATATATATATATATATATATATATATATATATATATATATCAACTTTCAATCTTTCATGAGCTTCCGATCCTTAGCTATGACTAATTAATTAGGAATATCCCATTTTCGCTTATGATAGATATCATCCCGATTCTTCTGTTAAGTCTCGTCTTGTTATAAAAACCTCGGAGAAATCCAGTAAGATATCTTTAATCATTTCTAAGATACAATGGTTCAAAGCTTAAAAATAATAATTGGACAATTTTGCTGTTACACCCGGTATATCTATACATATAAAAAGAGCAATAATTGTGTATGTGTGTGTCCGTTTAAAACTAAAAAAAACTATAATAGTTACGACAAAATAAATAATATACTCGTTATAACTCAAGCTAACTTCTTTGTAAAAAAAAAAATATCCGGGCATGATTTGAATTTACGAAGATATCTTAAAATTAAAATGAATTAGAATGCATTCGAAATTTTCAGTATTAAAAAATAAAAACGAACGGTAATAATACATATTCCCGATTATTATTACCGTTCGTTTTTATTTTTTTTAATTCTGCTGATAATTTCGATACGCTATACATGTATGTATTTTAAAAATTTCTATTCTCTTGAATTTATTTTCACATCGAGAGTAAATAAACGAGTAACTTTTAAAAAACGAATATTAAAACAACAAAGTAAATTTAAAAGAAAAATATTAAATAAAATTATTTAAAAAGAATTAATATATTTACTTATTCAAATATTCGAAGACAAAATTATAAAACAACGACAGAATAAATTTCCGGGGATATTTTTGGAGGAACTTTCAGTAGCTTTAATAGAAACAGATATTCTACGAATACATCTTTTTCGATATTTTTAATCGGGAATTTTTTAATTACCTTATAGTAGGTTATCAGTTATAAAGAAGTGTATGAATGTTGAAACAGATGAGTTTAATAAATGTCTATACTTCTGAAATGAGGTATTATATACATTCTTTACATTATTCGGACTATTCTCCTCATCTTTGTCGCCATATTTATTACAACGTTACAGCCTTTTCAGTATCTGTCTATTTTCTGAGATGATATTATGTCTATATTTTCATTATTCGACTATTGTCCCCATTTTGTCACTATATTTATTTTCAGTATCTGTCTATATTTTCGGATGAGGTATTGTCCTCATTTTTTATTCGGACTATTGTCCTATATTTATTACAAGGTTTCGGCCTTTCAGTATCTGTCTATATTTCTGAGATGAGGTATTATGTACACTATTTACATTATTCGGACTATTGTCCTCATCTTTGTCGCCATATTTATTACAACGTTTCAGCCTTTCAGTATCTGTCTATATTTCTGAGATGAGGTATTATGTGCACTATTTACATTATTTGGACTATTGTCCTCATCTTTGTCGCCATATTTATTACAACGTTTCAGCCTTTCAGTATCTGTCTATATTTCTGAGATGAGGTGTTATGTACATTATTTACATTATTCGGACTATTGTCCTCATCTTTGTCACTATATTTATTACAACGTTTCGGCCTTTCAGTATCTGTCTATATTTCTGAGATGAGGTATTATGTACACTATTTACATTATTCGGACCATTGTCTTCATCTTTGTCGCCATATTTATTACCTACACTTCAGCCTTTCAGTATCTGTCTGTATTTCTGAGATGAGGTGTTATGTACATTATTTACATTATTCGGACTATTGTCCTCATCTTTGTCGCCATATTTGTTACAACGTTTCGGCCATTGTACGCTCCGGCCTTCTTCAGGTGGTTGGAATGTCGAACTGAACCCTTTATTTCGCTCTCTGAGGTAGACTGTTCTAGTTCCATGTTTAATGGCTGTCCCTCTGAAAGTTGTCCACCGGGTATTAAACTCACACTCTCTCACACTGGATCTAACCAACGCCTTTATTCACTGTGTGATGTGTTCTTGAAGACATCTCTGTATGAATTTCTGGGTATTATAAACCTAATGTCTTCAACAACCATTTTTTCCAGCAATTTTTGCCGTTATCATTGCATGTTTTTTTTTACCAGAACTCATATTGCAATTTTTGTTGTTATCGCTTTTCTTTGGCACTCCTTATTACTGGTTCCCATATTGTATTCATTTCTATGCTTGGCTCAGGAGATTTTTGTGGCCTAGCATATGTGCTGATTTCTTAAGTTTACGAATTCGTTTGTAAATTCGAGTCTTTTGAATTTCTAACAAAATCAATGAGTCAGTGCTTAGCATTTAAATTTTAAATCTAGATCTTGTTTTGTTCACTACAACCGATTTTTAATAACAGGTTTATTTGTCTCTATGTCTGTGTGCGTGAGTATGTGTGTGTGCGTGGGTGTATGCATTATTGAATTATTATTAATTTTCGGCCATCTTATTGAAAATAATTTTTTTATTTAAACTTTAAAAAGTAAACTTCATTGATTTTTTTTTTTTTGGGGGGTTGTAACTAACACAAAATTAATTCATTTTAAATTAAGTTTTATTAAAACAAAAACTATATCGAGCCTTATTTTTTAGAAAATCAATTTAAATAAAACAGAGTTAAATTCGGAAAACAAATATTAAAAACAACTTATGTTGACCGTAACTCATGTCTGACTCTCAAAATTTTTATTTAACTAAAGGTGTGTTTTTTTTTCTAACGAAAGAATGACAGAATAAGCAAAGGTATGAAAGAAAGAAAATTAATTTAAATAAAATAGAGTTGAATTCCTAAAATTATATTCAAAACAATTCATGTTGACCGTAACTCATGTCTGTCTCTCATAATTTTTATTTAACTAAAGTTATTTTTTTTCTTTTCAAAAACAAATATAACTTGAAATTTAAACATGATCGCTATTCAAAATAAATTCTCAATGTATCTTACTTCTCTCTTTCAAAATAGTTAGTAATGAAATTTATTTACGGAGAAATGTTTGCTTCTTTCACTTTCTTTAAAAAGAAAATAATCACTAAAACTTTATTTACTTTAAAAAATCTAAATTCCTCTCCTAAATAAATAGTAAATAATTATTTTTCGAAGAAGTAAGGCTCGCTATGATTTTTGCTTGGAAAAATGATGTTTAAATATATCTATTGTTTATATACTTTTTATAAATAATAATTTGAAAAAAAAAAATTAATGAACTTAGATAAAGCGATTTGATTTGTTTGAAAACAAAATTATTAATTTCTATTCGTATTTAATTCGAAAACGAACCTTTTTGAAAAAAAAAAATAGGTGGATACTCTGCCCCACTATGTTCCCTCCCCCAAGCGTGGTATTTGTAGTGTTTTTTTAAAGATGGAATAAACAAAAGATTTCCATAAGATGGCTGAAAAATATCAATAAATTGTCAATAATAAACTATTATTCAGAGATCTACCAAGCAAGATTATCTATCTATCTATCTATCTATCTATCTATCTGCCTCTACTCATATCTATCTATCTAGCTATCGATCGTACCTATGTATATCTATATAAGTGTGCTTTTTTAATGATCGAATAAAAGTAATTTATTAAGCATTAAAACCTTAATTAAGGAATATTTTTCTTCATTTGAAAAGGGATTATGTAAAATATGAACCATATATACTTATATATTTCTATATGTGGATATTTTCTTGAACCTTGTTCATGTATTGTCCTTCCCACAGTCCTCTCCATTAACGTCTTTTTATTCTCTTTTATTCTCAGTAACCCCCTGCGTCGTATTGGCAATATCTCCGTTGCTTGGAGTGAACCAATTTTAAAAAAGATAAAAAAAAAGCATGCACTCTGGTAAAAGAGCCTTGCGATAAAAGAATAATTTAGCCTCCAAGTGCAGCTGCTACAAATTAGTTTATAATATTGCATTACTGATAAAATGCTCTAATTACACGCTCTTTAGAGCTGACGGGAAAATAACCCACACTTCATCATCCAGTTACTTACGCAGTATCAATATAAATCAATATAAGTTAAGATAAGACAGACTGAGATGGTATAGCGGAAGTGCTTGTGTTCAAAACAAGGGATGACTGCTTTTCTTCCTAGAGGATGGTCACGTTCGCTTTCCGACGATAAGAACAGGGTTTGAATCTCATCAGGGTCGATTTATCAGGAAGGTGACGTCTTAATGTTATCTGCCTTTAATCCTAGCGTCCAGCACCTTAGCAAATGTCTGAAAACTGTACCACGATTTGACTCCATCCTATTTGCTAGCACGAAGTCCCAAGTCATCGTGACCGAGGGTGTGAGCGTACTGGCCTTATTTTTAGACTGTTCATTACGCCAGAGAAAGCGCTCTCTCCCAGAAACTGTAGCTAAGGCCTGCTCAGCATAATTACAGTATAAACCACAGGTGGGCTCTGTGGTTGTTTAACAAACCCAAAGTGTGACAGAGCAGGCAATAGGAATTGGCTAGCCGCCCCAGTAGAGAGGCATAAACGGATACGAGTTGCCAGTTGCCACATACATCGAGGTGTAATGGTCTCAAATACGACTAAGTGGTTGTTTCCGTCAATGCAAATGCATCGTCGAATTAACTGTGTCTAGGATGTCCGTACGTGAGAAAAAATGACAGGTAGATATATAAACATCCTCCTCCGGGATGGAAAAAGAGAACGAGAGATATTTTAAAATGCATTCTCGACAAGAAGCCAACACTCATTGGTTGAGAGAAACTGGTGAACTCCGGTGTAGAATAAAATTTATTGTTACGTTTTGTATTGTCATTAAAATGTACAACAACGCTACCTATCGGCCAAAACACACTCAGATAGATAGATAGATAGATAGATAGATAGATAGATAGATAGATAGATAGATAGATAGATAGATATGAATAAATGGAGATAGATAGATATGAATAAATGGAGATAGATATGGAAAGACTGAAATCGATCGATCGATATATAGATAGATAAGAATAGACGGAGATAAATAGATAGATAGATATGGATAAACGGAGATAGATAGATAGACATAGAAGGACTGATATCGATCGATCTACAGTTAAATAGATAGATAGATAGGTATGAATAGACGCAGATAGATAGATAGATAGATAGATAGATAGATAGATAGATAGATATGAATAGAATGGAACAGATAGATAGATAGATAGATAGATAGATAGATAGATAGATAGATAGATAGATATGAATAAATGGAGATAGATATGGAAAGACTGAAATCGATCGATATATAGATAGATAAGAATAGACGGAGATAGATAGATAGATATATATGAATAAACGGAGATAGATAGATAGACATCGAAGGACTGATATCGATCGATCTATAGATAAATAGATAGATAGGTATAAATAAACGCAGATAGATAGATAGATAGATAGATAGATAGATAGATAGATAGATAGATAGATAGATATGAATAGAATGGAACAGATAGATAGATAGATAGATAGATAGATAGATATGAATAAACGGAGATGGACATGGAAAGACTGAAATCGATCGATCGATATATAGATAGATAAGAATAGACGGAGATAGATAGATTGATAGATATGAATAAACGGAGATAGACAGATAGACATAGAAGGACTGATATCGATCGATCGATAGATAGATAGATAGATAGATCTGAATAGAATGGAACAGATAGATAGATATGAATAAACGGAGATAGACATGAAAAGACTGAAATCGATCGATCGATATATAGATAGATAAGAATAATCGGAGATAGATAGATAGACATAGAAGGACTGTTATTGATCGATCTATAGATAGATAGATAGATATGAATAGACGCAGATAGATAGATAGATAGATAGATAGATAGATAGATAGATAGATAGATAGATAGATAGATAGATACGAATAATGATAGATAGATATGAACAATGATAGATAGATAGATAGATAGATAGATAGATAGATAGATAGATAGATAGATATGGAAAGACTGAGATCGTTCGATAGATAGAATGAATAAAAGAAAGAAAGAAACGAATAGACTTGATGTAGTGAAAGAGATAATCAGCTACCACGAAAAAGGGTTCGTGTTTTGTGTCGAAGAAAAATTATCAAAAAGTAAGCAAAAATCTACTTTAGAGTCCAGGTGTATTTTTACATTCAGAATGCTTTAAAAATTACATTTACAAGACAATTGTTTATTATAAAATTCTATTCAATCGATAGACTCATAACGATTGAAAACAATGTTTTTGTTTGAGTTTGGGTTTGATCAATTCGTAAAAAAAAAAAAACAAAAAAAAACTAATTAAGACATGCGTGTCCGTCAACCTTAAACAATAATCTTTGTCAATTTTATTTTTCAGTCTTTATAATGATCGATATTTGATCTATCTCTTACTGTTACATCCCCGGGCAACGCCGGGCTCTCCTGCTAGTATGTAATAAATACCGTATCTCCCTTTATATAATATCTCCCACGTAATACAGGCTGACAGCCTTATTACTGCATTATTTGTACTTTTGAAACAAACCCGTTAACTCAATAGACGTCAATTCAAAATGTACTGTTACAGTACCTTCTATCCGCCATGTTTGTTTATGGTAAAATTAGTTAATTGTTAATTACTGTCAAATTACAAATGAAAAGCCAATAATATATTCATAAAATGTTAGCGGACTGTGGCGGTGACAATGCAAAAGAAACACAACGTTTGCGTCTCTGAAACATCAGCTGGGAGGGAGTTGGATGTAAACACGTCGTCTGTTGAAACGCCTTGTGACTTGTGGTGTCACGTACAAGTTGCTTCTGATGTGAAGAGGTCTAACATTATGCTAACCAAACTACTGAAAATTTGATTAGTAATAAGAATAAATACTTCATAACAGGTTCAAAATGTGATAATTTGTTATGACAGAAAGAAAAATGACACCATAAAGTTAGCGACTTGATCTTGTTAGGATGGTGAGTTATTAAATCCTCAAATATTTTCTCTTCTCAAAAAATACTGAACTAATTACGGAAAACACAACACCACCAACTGAACACTAAGCACCGGAACATCTCAGGGCTGAGACACTTCAGGACCGATGCAACTCAGCACCAGAAAAACAATTTTTTTTTAATAAAAGTAATTTATTAAGGATTCTCTGGCTAATCTAAGCTTTCTTAAATTTTTTAAAAAAAATCGGTTTCGCCCAATGTAAGGCAGTAAAGCCACTAAGATGTGAGAGGTTACTGGGTGTGGAAGATTAAGGAATTAGGAACAGAACCATTAATAATGAGCAAGAAGAGAAAAGAGTAATCAAGACACTAGATAGCGATTGATATTGTATTTAAATTTTTGCATCGAGCCGGAAAGGGAGTTCCACAATGAGAAGTGTGAGAAAAGAATCTTTTAGCATAGAACTTACGGCTACATCTATCCGGTATCAATTGATGAGACCTTGCCGCCAATCTAGCACTGAGTTTAAATTCATAAAGTCTAGATGTCATAGCGAAGAGCGATATTCATTCTGCTATATACAGAAATGTGGCACAAGGCCAAAATGGGGAATGGGGAGAAGAACGGTCTTCTTCTGTCTTAACGTTAAACTTAGCTAGCCACAAACACTGACCCAGACATGCAACAGCAGTCCTTACACCAAAACAACGCATTCTTACTAACCGTTCTTACTACATTCACCATAATACCTCATTGTCTCCATAAAAGTCTTAACTAAACTCCATATGTACAATCCATAGCGAAGAGCGATATTTATTCTGTTCTCTACAGAAATATGGCACAAGGCCGAAAAGGGGATTGGGGAAAGGACGGTCTTCTTCTGTCTTAGCTAGCCGCAAACACTGACCCAATCGTACGAACAATATTCCTTGCAGCAAAACAACACATTCCTACGTACCTTTCTTACTACAATCACCATAATACCTCTTTGTCTCTATGAAAATACTAACTAGTCCCCATATTTACAATTCATTGTCTGTGGTGGGGAGGGGAATAAAACAACAATTCTAAAAACTAGCGCCAATGAGTATTTACAATATGAATATGAATATGAATATATCCATAGCGAAGAGCTCATCTGAACAATTACCATGAAAGTATTTATAGAAAAACACAGAGAGGCAACCTTACGACGGTGGGAAAGTGACTGAAGCCGAGCCGCCAGACCAGGACCAATAATATTGCTGATTCTTCGGATTTTATAAACAAGCTCAAGGTAAATATTACGTTCGGATACGAAACTGCGAAATCTATCTTTTTCAATACTTACGTTAAAAGAATTTTCCGTTCAAATTTTTGATTTTTCCTTGCATTTTACAAAGAGAGTGAATTTTTTGTCAATTTTTTTAATACTTTGCTTAGCTTTTGGAAGGCATCTTTGGATATCCGAATTGTTCTTCGGATTTCACTGTCGCAATTTCCGTCCTCTGTTAAAACACTTCCCAGATGTTTAAATTGTTCTATTTAATTTTGGTTTTCTGCAAAAGTTGTCCGAATTTATTCAAATATGGAGACTAGCGCTGATCTATATCAAACAAAGAGGAATGTGAAGGAAAGGAAGAATACAGAGAGAAAAGACGACGGTAAAAGTCCATGCGTCAATGGACAACGCATTAATTTCAACGTCGTAAATGAAGGACATAAAGATTAAATGACTGAAATATGTGTTCGGGCTGACTCCACCCCATCCATTGCGTTTGGACAATAACTGCTATAGTTCTCCAACTGATGTGCACCAGTGTATAATAATACTGGAATGGCAGTAAATAGGAACGTAACCTCTGTTATACGACGCAACAAATGTTTATTATCTGTCGGTATCGCTTCACACATAACTGCGCATGCGCACAATTATTACATGGCAAATTCATTCGAGCCGCTTATCATCCGTTCCAGGCTGTGTGCTTTCATCAGTTGTAAGATATTAACTTTTATCTAATTCCGTGACACGTTTTTACGAAAAATAGTTATTCCTTAAATACTTCCAAATCAAACCAACTTGATATCTCTTGATTGCCAATCTCTGATGATCTCTAGCCTTAAGCCAGACAGAAGTGGCTGTTAGAGTTGTTTTTATTCAACACATATCAGAGACAAGCTGGCACCTCGACGTGGTGTAATGGTTATTACGCTTGTCTCGCTACAACAATTACGACAGTATAGTGAGTTCAAACTTTACTGGGTGCTCCATAATTTGGGCCTTGTGCCACATCTAAGCTACGCTTAGAAATTCACCATGCAAAAGGCAAGATATGTTTTATCAAGTTATCTGGAAATGGGCAAAATTACAGGGATGTTGATCCATGCCTTTGTTAACGGATATGAATTCCTGCATTTGTTAAATCATTTCTGTTGAAAAATGAGCTTTGCTACAAATCAAAGTACTGACAGTTGGTAAGGTAGACGTGGAAGAATGTGTAGCCTCATAAAAAAGAAAAATTAGACTCCCAAATAGTTTCATCTACCCAATTTAATTCACAAGGCTTGGGTCAGCACGTGTTTCTTTTTTTTTTTTTTTTTTTTCAGATATTTTCCAAAGTTACCGCATGATGGGATCACCTCGCCAGTCCTATAAGATTAAGGCGTTACCTTGAGAAAACGACCCGGATCTCATGGTCGTTCACCTGCCCATCCTCTGATAGACACATAGATAAGGACATACCAAATGACAATGTTATATGTAGATAAGCATTAGAATGGTTTACTGTATAAAAATGTTTTGCAAATTATTATCATTTACTATTGATCTTCATTAGAAATTATTCAATGCAAAAAAAAATTTTCGGTAATTTATTAACTTATGAAATACAGTAGAATTATTGAATATATAAAAGACTTTGGAATATATTTACTATATAAATGCATTACAAATATTTGCTACATAAATTCACTAGAAATACTTGGTATATAAATTCATTAGAAATATTTGCTATATAAATGCATTAGAAATATTTACTATATAAATGCATTAGAAATATTTGCTATATAAATTCATTAGAAATATTTACTATATAAATGCATTAGAAATATTTACTATATGAATGCATTAGAAATGTTTACTATATAAATTCACTAGAAATATTTGCTATATAAATGCATTAGAAATATTTTCTATATAAATTCACTAGAAATATTTTCTATATCAATTCATTAGAATATTTTCTATATAAATTCACTAGAAATATTTTCTATATAAATTCACTAGAAATATTTGCTATATAAATTCATTAGAAATATTTTCTATATAAATTCACTAGAAATATTTGCTATATAAATTCATTAGAAATATTTGCTATATAAATGCATTAGAAATATTTGCTATATAAATGCAGTAGAACTATTTGCTATATAAATGCATTACAATATTTGCTATATAAATGCATTAGAAATATTTACTATATAAATGCATTAGAAATATTATATAAATGGATTAGAAATATTTACCATATAAAAATACTTTGCAAATTATTAACTATAGATCCATGATAATTAAAATTTTAAAATTATTTACTATAGAACTAATTAGAATCTTTTAACATATGAAAACGCTTCGCAAATTTTTTACTTTAGAAGTCATTAGAATTATTTCATATGTAGAAATACTTTGCATATTATTTACCGTAGAAATGGATTATAATGATTTACTGTATAAAATGCTTTTCAAATCATTTACTATAGAAATGCATTAGAAATCATTTATTATATAAAAATGTTTCGTAAATTATTTATTATAGGAGTTCATTAGAATTTATGTCTATATAAATATGCTTTGTAATATGTTTACTATAGAAATGCATTACAAATATTTAATATATAAATTGCTTGGCAAATTATTTACTACAGAAATATATTGGAAATTATTTACTATATAAAAATGTTTCGTAAATTATTTATTATAGAAATTCATTAGAATTATTAACTATATAAACAAGCTTTTTAATATATTTACGATACGTTAGAAGTATTTCAGTCAGTTATGTGCCATGTGGTATACACGCTTAGGCGATCATGTATCTTTTAATACACTGACAAAACAGATTTTTTTCCCGCACTAGGTTGACATTTATTTCTGCGGTAGACCAATTGCCATCCAAGGATATAGAACCTAGTTTGTCCTGCTAATTATTGTATGGAGAAGAAGAGGATTCATAACTTGGCCATGGGCATTAGCATGTAAGAGAAATTTCGACTGAAATTCGAACTCGGCACTCCGATTCCTCAATCCGAGCCGCTTATTCCTTACTCCGCCGTGCCTCCTTTTTTATTTTTTACTACTTCTTTTTAAAAAGATAAAGATTCATATATTTTTTCATACATTCTTGGTTAAATATATGAATCTTTATCTTTTTAAAATCATTAAATGTGAATAAATATTATTAATTATTTATTTTATTAAATTCTTTAAAATGTTGTCACACCCTATTAACATTTTTTATTCTCTTCTTTAAACAAAATTAAATCCAAATTTTAATACAGTTTCATTTTAATGTCAAAGAAGAATTTTTGATGAAGAAAACCAAAATAACAAATAAACAATGTTTAGTTGATGATCCAACCCCATTTCGTTTCTTTTTGTTTACTTGTTTTGCCTGGAACATTACAGCGAAATTGTTCATCTTGCCAAGCTTCAATGTCCAGTTTTCGTTTCTGCTGCTGTTTGTTGCTAAGCAACAAATATAAATTCATATAACAATACTTTCTTTCGTTGAAATTGAACGCGGCTTTTTGCTTGTCTTTTTTTTTAATTTTTTTATTTCTTCCTTCTTATTTCTTTCTTTCCTTATTAATTAAATGAAAGCAAATTCAAAATTTTCTCCACTCTACGAAAAAGATTCACTTTACTAAATCAATGTTAGAAGAAACGAACAAATTCAACTTGCAAATCTTACAAAAAAACGTTTCGTTGTCATTAAATTATTTAAAAACATGTAATATATGAATTCGAACTCGGCTCACTGATTCCTCAATGCAAGGCGTTATCCACTACTCCACCTTGCCTCCTATACTTTTTTCGAAAATACTGGAAATTATTAAGGCCTTCCACAATATGGGAAACTATTAACGAGTTTCGAAAATACTGGAAATTATTAAGGTCTTCCAAAATATGGGAAACTATTAACGACTTTCGAAAATACTGGAAATTATTAAGGCCTTCCAAAATATGAGAACCTATTAACGAGTTTCGAAAATACTGGAAATTATTAAGGCCTTCCACAATATGCGGAACTATTATCGACTTTCGAAAATACTGGAAATTATTAAGGCCTTCCAAAATATGGGAAACAATTAACGAGTTTCGAAAATACTGGAAATTATTAAGGCCTTCCAAAATATGGGAAACTATTAACGAGTTTCGAAAATACTGGAAATTATTAAGGCCTTCCAAAATATGGGGAAACCGAGTTTCAAAATATGGGAAACTATTAACGAGTTTCGAAAATACTGGAAATTATTAAGGCCTTCAAAATGGGAAACCAAAAATACTAAATGGGAAACAATTAACGAGTTTCGAAAATACTGGAAATTATTAAGGCCTTCCAAAATATGGGAAACTATTAACGAGTTTCGAAAATACTGGAAATTATTAAGGCCTTCCAAAATATGGGAAACTATTAACGATTTTCGAAAATACTGGAAATTATTAAGGCCTTCCAAAATATGGGAAACTATTAACGATTTTCGAAAATACTGGAAATTAAAAGGCCTTCCAAAATCCTGGAAATTATTAAGGCCTTCCAAAATATGGGAAACTATTAACGAGTTTCGAAAATACTGGAAATTATTAAGGCCTTCCAAAATATGGGAAACTATTAACGAGTTTCGAAAATACTGGAAATTATTAAGGCCTTCCAAAATATGGGAAACTATTAACGAGTTTCCTTATTAAGACCAAAATATGGGAAACTATTAACGAGTTTCGAAAATACTGGAAATTATTAAGGCCTTCAAAATATGGGAAACTATTAACGAGTTTCGAAAATACTGAAATTATTAAGGCCTTCAAAATATAAACTATTAACGATTTTCGAAAATACTGGAAGTTATTAAGGCCTTCAAAATATGGGAAACTATTAACGATTTTCGAAAATACTGGAAATCCTTCAAAATATGGAAAACTATTAACGATTTTCGAAAATACTGGAAGTTATTAAGGCCTTCCAAAATATGGAAAACTATTATCGACTTTCCAAAATACTGGAAATTATTAAGACCTTCCAAAATATGGAAAACTATTAACGACTTTCGAAAATACTGGAAATTATTAAGGCCTTCCAAAATATGGGAAACTATTAACGACTTTCGAAAATACTGGAAATTACTATAGTCTGGTCAAAATATAGGGCGTTCTTAATATCTTTCCAAAATATTACAAAATATTTGCAAAGCATTAACGCCTTTCTAAATTATTTTAAATTATTAAAGCCTTTCTACTATATTGGAAAGTATTATTTTTTTTTAATTATTGCAAACAACATACGCCAAAATACTGGAAACAAATAACACCTTTCAAATAAAGAACACGTGGCCCAGTAGATAAAGGTGTTGGTAGGATCTAGTGACTTGACTAAGTCACTGGATCCAACCAGTTGTGAGTTCAATACCTGGCTTCTGCAGTGGTTAACAAAAACTTGGAGAGTTGAG